AAATTATTACATTATTAAACTGCATAAATTTTGTCCTTTGGGAGCAAAATAGTTGTCTTTCTGTCTTTTGTATTTTTAATAGGGTCTAAAAATATATACATAATTTAAAACATTTCTGATTAATACAAAACTTTCCTCATTATTCCTAATAATATTCCACAAGGTACAGAACTCAGCAACTATGGTTTCTTCCCTCATAGGGTCAAGAATATCATAAAGGTACTTCCCTTAACCCCTACTCCACTAAGTCTTCAGATTTCAGAGGACAATGTGAGGATGTTTAGGGAAGGAGCAGGGGACAGCTCATACATACTTTTTTAAAAAAATGACATTATCTATCAATTTATTGGCAGAGTTTAAAATACAAAGCTACTCAATGAATTTGGTGAACTGATTCCTTTCTATCAAATCCCTTACACTTTCACTTTGGTTGGTTTGTGTTCAAGTGTGGCTGTATTTTTTTTGGACTTATATAGCATTTGGTATATGCATTTTGGTTCTAAACAACTGCAGCCACTCTGTGTTTTCCTTTCCTAGTAAGTAAATTGAGACTTAGAATGAAACTCAAAGACTCCTTTGCTCTTCTCCATTCGAATTAGCCTGGAAGAGAAAGGAACGCACTCGGCATGCGGCTCACTCTCCTGGGTTCTTCTAAAGTTACATTAAAAATAATAATGAAGTCACAGGGAGGAGTTAGATGTATTAATTTCATGCTGAGCATAGATTTTAGAAAAATATAATTGAATATATAATTATAATTAAATGTAATTAAAATCCATATGTTTTCTTATGTAAAATTGTTTTCACATTATCAGGGTTTTGACATTTTTAAAATGTATCTGTAAAACAAATTTTTTTTATGATAACCTGATAACCCAGGCTGTAAACAAATACTACGGATGGTGATACAGATTTTACTTAAGTTTGGCTTTCGCAGAAAAAGATTTCATGTTATCGTCATTTTATCTTTATAGTGAAACTCCTGACCACCTAAATCTGTTCTTCCCTACTGTTTTTTAGCTTATGAAAACACCAAAACAAATATTAACATGTAGATAAAATAACAAAAATATCTAATGTTTGTATAGCTCATATACTACTTTCATGTATACAATCTCGTTTGACGAAATTACTATTGTTTCATCATTAACGGGAAGCCTGGCACCTTTTATGGTTTTTCCTGATTATCTACCATTCCTGCCATTGGCAATTTCTTGCCCTGTCTTTAATATCCTTAAAACTCTAAGAAACCGAAATCCTCAACCTCAATTTTCCCAAATTACAAATGTTATAACCTAAGTATATTCACAAAAGTAAACAACAAACAACTATAGCCAGGGATCCAAATTAACCGAGTGTGAGAAAGAAGATTAGAATAAGTGGCAATTAGCCTTCAGGAGCTTTCTACCAAACAGGAACAAGCCACATGGAGTAGGTGAAAATGAAATGGAGATTGAAGATGTGATACCTTTTTCATCTGAAAATACACTCATTCACGAGGCAATATGTGGCTCTGTGGACTATTCTTAGCCCAGCGCAAAGCGTCAGGTAATCAGGAACAATTTAAATTAATGAAAAAAGTAAGAACAGAAAGAAAAAGGGCTGAAATATTACCTAAGTACAATGAAAGAATTATAGGAAACTTGAAAATTAGCCACTTAAATCTCTCTTTGGATGTCAGCCTCTGTTCAAAGTTGAGAAATAGTTTTAAATGATCACCAGTGGACAAACTCATCATCCTGAATGTGCAGACAACCAGTATACAGATTACCAGGGCACTGACTTTGATGCAAAAGGTTTGCACATTTGTAGAGTTTTTTTGGAGTGATGTTTAGCTTTTAAGAATACTGAGTAACAAAACTGAAATAAGTGTGCAGCATTAAATACTTAATTTGAATTTTAAAAACGATGGTAGATATAATTAAGTTTCATCTTTAGTTTTATTCAAAGTTGCTAAGTTGTTTGAATTTTGAAAAGGAACCCAGGATAAGATGACTCCCAGTTTCCTTCATCATGAAATTTTAGGTAAGACACATCTTGCAAAATCACAGCTTGCCTACCAACAAATTTATTACCTGTTAATAACAATTTGTTGGGACATGTGACAATCTTTCTCACATTATTATATGCCCAGAGCAATTGTTTCTATCATGTCTTCATACATAGGTGTGGCTGCATATTGTGGCCAAGAGAAGAAAGTAACTGTAGTATCTTAATGCTAAAATGATGGGAACTTTACACAAATTGTCTGAACATCCCAGTGGGACATTCAGGTGAACAACGCATATGATAGTCCCATTCTATATATGAAAAAGTTAAGAATCAGAAATAATAAAGCTTAATCTAACTGACCAAAAGACATCAGCCAAATTTATAAGAGAAAAATAAAATAAAAGACATTAGAAATAGCTTTTTGGTTTGTATAAATAAAATCACCAGCCACTTGCCTGAATTTCTTTGTTTTCTACTTAACATATAACATTTTATGCTAGTAGTTTTCAAACTTTTTGACCTCAACGCACTGTCAGAAATACATTTTACTTTACAATCAGCACACACAACCAAGTATAATTAAAACAAATTTTCAGGAAATAAAATTTACCCTTACTAAATACCATGCACTCTTATTATTTTCTATTATATTCTTTTCTGTTTTAGTCTTTTTAAAAAAATATTTTAGACTCACTAAACTGATTTCATGATCCTCTGGGTCATGATAAGCAGTTTGAAACCACTGCTTTCGGCTTCCAAACTTTTGATAATTACCTAAGAAAATTAAAGTTTCCTAAAAGAATCTAGTCAATTCTTTCCTTTTTACCCAGAGTTATTCAAATAGAAAAACTGAGAGGGGAAAATATTAAATAATATGTCGTCTGTACGAAGCACTTGCATGGATGCTTCTCTTCTTCCCTGGGTATTAAGAGGCAGAATTCTAATGAAAGAGGAAGGATGTTATATGAAATGAATCACACAGGAAAAATCATTCTAAAACTGAATTTCCACACAGCATCCCATTTGTGCAAGGTTTTTACTTTATTTTTAAAAGTTCCTTGTCATTTTTTTAGTATGCTAAAAGTATTTAAATATTATTTAATGCAAAAAGTTTAAGATGGGGCATATCATAGTGATACTACTTGCCACTGGGATGATGAACAATTTTGAATCAAATGTAGTCCCCTCTTTAATTGACCAGGCTCCCTTGTAATTATTAGCAAGGCAGTAAATAATCCACCAAGGAGCAGTCTCATTAGTGCCCATTGAAATTCAGTGGCATTAATTTGCAATAAAAGAACTGAAAATTAAATGGGAAAAAAACAGTTTCTGGAGTCCACCATAAGGTTATGGAATTCAAATCATACCAGTGCCTTCCTCCATATCCAGGAGTTTAAAATATTGTTTGAATTACACTTAATCGCTTTATTTTGTTCTTCCATTTAAAAAAATGGGCAGTAGAAATACTTTTTCCATTTTAACCCTAAATTAAGACAAGTGAAATGAATTCGAAAGTTGCCAACTTTTTAAAGTTTTGTTCATTGTTTGTCTTTTAAGTAATAACTCAGCCTGTACCTGCTTAGCTGTGAGATGTTCTAAATTCCTCTAAGAGGGCCGAAGAAGCACGTTTGGATACCCCAAGAATCTGCCCTTCAGTACCCCCTGCAGCTAACCTACACCTTAGTCCTGTTTCTTCTGCTAAAAATATCTCTGGAAATGGAACACCGAAGAGAAAACAGTCCACTGTGTGCAGGGCAGAAGGATCTGGGCAAGAGCAGGAGGCAAATCCAGACACCAGGTACAGTTGGGAAGTGCCTAACTCAGCACCCAGCATGCGGGCGCCCTGAAGCCTACCAACCCAACCCAGGATATACCTGTCCTGCAGGTGTTCACCAGAAACGCCCACCTAAGCCCTCTGCAGGCCCATCAGGAAGAGGAAGGAGAAACTGTCAAAGGGAAAAGGGGAGAAAAGGGAGAGGAAGAAAGACAATTTCTATTAGAAAAAAATTTAAATGAGGACACAAAACATTCGCCACTTAAGCCACAAAGTGCTCTCCCACCTCCTGGGAGGCGCAGAACTCAGCTGACCTCGCACAACACTGCTGGGCCAGGCATGGAACTAAGCAGGTAAGGGGGTATTTTAAAGCACTCGTGCTTTGATATGGCATGTTCTGACCTCAGGAGACACCTATAAAATTTCTGCTGTCAGAAGTCACATGCCAGCAATATGCTCCAACACGGACTGAACCAGTTAACTCAGAAATCAGAAACCCGGTGAGACCCATTCAACTCCTGCATGGCTCTCCTCCGTATGGCCCTTCAATCCTACAGCCCCTGAACGTGGGATGGGGAGGAGCGGAAAGCGGGTGCTAGGAATTGCTTCCCAAAAAGTCATCATCACGCTAACAGCCTGCATAATTTCAACCTGAAACTCTAGATGGAGGGAAATTTTGCGAGCACATTAAAAAACAAAATTTTTAAATAATAGTAAACAAAACCCTCCCGAGCTCTGCTAACTCCATCACCTCCAGTTTTAAATACCAAAAAACGGGACCTTTGCTAGTGACCCAAAGCGCCTCGCGTTTATTTGCTTTGAGGTGTTCCCCCCCACACACACAAATAACTGCTGCTTTGTGCGGTTTTCCAACGTTTGTTTAGTCGGGAAGCACATGGGCTTTCAGATCTGCCTCTCGCACTGACGCTTGGGGGATGGAGAACATTTTTTTAAGCTGCCAAGCGATAGAACTTAACTCTCCGGACGTGGGCTCCACAAATAGCCCCCCGGGCTGGGCCGCGCGCCCACCCCGGGCTCCCCGCGCGCGCCCTCGGGCCGCGCGTCCCGTGGCTCCAGCGGCCGGCGCTGGCCGGGGTGCCCAACCGCGCGGGCTGCGGCCTCCGGCGGGCTGCGGGCGGCGCGACCCCCGCGCTCGCGGGCCCGCGGGCTCCCTCCGGCCGGGCGCGCGGCGGCCACCCCGACGTGGCGCGGCAGGCGGCGCGGGCGCGGGTACCTGAAGAACGCTGGAGGGCCGGCCTCCCGCACGGCGTAGCCGCTCGGCTCGTTCTCCAGGTAGTAGGGCACCTGCTGGCCGTGGGGCTGCAGGAACGGCGAGAGCTGCGGCGGCGTTTGCAGCAGCACCAGCGGGCTCGGAGACACGCCGCTGAGCGGGGGGAAAGCCCCCAGGCCGTTGGCGCCGAACGGAGGAGCCTCGGACCCGGGGCCGTAAGCGAGGCCGGACTGGCCATAGACTGGCGCGGAGGCGGCGGCCGCGGCGTTGAACTCGTACGCGGCGCCCTCGGGGTAGTTGTACACGGCGGGCTTGCTGCTGTCCACGTACACCTCGCCCAGGGGCCGCTCCAGGGGGATCTTGAGCTGCGGGCGGTTCAGGGGCTCCAGCTCGTTCCCTTGGATCTGGTGCAGCATGGCCATTCCGGACGCTTTGGAGTGGAGGGTCATAGTCATGGTCAGCGGCCGCGGGCAAGGCGCACACCGTCTCCCCGCGCGGCAGAGGGCTCAGCAGCCGACGGGCCACCTGGAAAAAGAGCACAGCCCGCGGTTAGAGGCGGCGCAGCGCATGTCCCGCCACGATGCGAGCTCTGGCCCCGACCCTGTCCCGGGAGCCGGCCGGTCCGGTGGAGCCGGGCGGCCAGACCCGAGCAAGTGCAGTCCGGGGCGAACGCGCTCGCCAACTCTCGGGCTCCCGGACTTCCAACTTTAAGTACTGGTCTCTCGAGCTCATATGCATTACAAAGGTGCTGGAAGCCTGCCAGGGACTGTTGCCTTGCTCTGACATTGGCTTAAACATCAGTCCAGGCACAACTCGGTTTTGGAGCGATCCCAAAGAGCAGCTTCCCTGAACTTTGCTTTACTTGTCGTTGCTTCTGGATGGAGGCTGAATTTCACTGCAGGAGGGCAGGGGCGCACGAGGATCTCCTAAAGGTGGCCCCGGGAAGACTGCGCTTAAAATAAATGCGCAAAACTAATCCAGGGGCCAGCTTTCTCTAATGTGCTGCCTTATGTGCCCCGTGCCAGACTCCAATCTATCTCTGTTTGTCTCTCCTTCTGTTTGATTCACTCTCCTTGTTGGCTAGAAATATGTAGTGTGTACATAAAATGACCCTGGGGAGGACTACTCTGTAACTGAGATATGGCAGATAGAATGGGGTGTGCGGTTGCATATGCAGCCAGCCACAGACAGCTATATTTAGCTGCTGCAGGGACTGATAGGAGGCATCTGAGGGTGAAGGGGGCGGAGATTTAAGGTGTACGTATAGAAAGAGCTGCATTTTGCCATCAGGAGAATGCTGCTGGGACCTCAGGGTCCTCATCTGCAAAATACTCCCAAAGTGGACCCTTCCAGCCACAACCTTCTGAGGTTCTCCCAGTCCGACTTGTGTGTTTATGTTGGACCATAGTACTGTACTTGCTCCCATTAGGAATTCTCATGTGAACGATGATTCAGAAAAACCTTCGGTTAGGGCACACATGGGTGTTCATGCCTTCCACAGGTTATGCAACCAAAACTTCAGAAACTGAATATGAATTGTGACCTTTTCATACAAAACATAACCTCAGGTCATTATCCAAAACTTTGGCAATTACATTACATTGCCTGTCTAACCAACAAATTTTAAAATGCATTTCTGCATTTCTGTTCTTTAGTTCTACAACTGGACCTTCTCGGTTCACTTAGGCTAGGAATACGCAGAATAAAAAATCCAGATGAAAGGTAAATAGGAAAAAGTTTTGAGCTGAAATTAAAAACTAAGCATACATACACACACACCTATTAATGAGACAAAAGATATGTTAAGTATGTCATGCATCCATAATCTTGGATAGTTTATACTTTTTAATAAGCTTCCTTTGTTCTAGCCTAATAGACTCTGATGAAGCCACTAATATTTAGCTTTAATTGCTATCCCAAACACCCGATAGAGTATCTGACAAAATGTTCGTGGTACATATAAATGCCAACGTTGCTTTACTAATAGTTACAGTTTTGAATATTTTATACTAGTAAGTATACATTTTATCTAATTCTTACAAAAACAGAACATTTTGGACCATGTATAGCTGATTTAATATGAAGCCAAAATTGAGTTTAGCATTAATAGCTATAGATTGTAAGCAAAGAAAGGGTTAAAAACACTTTAGATGAATCTCAGATATTTCTCTTTATGGCCAGCAATCATTACTTTCCAAAGCAAATTTTTACAGATGATTTAGTATCTGTAAATCACACTTTCAATTTTCAAATGCCTTTTTGAAACACATACAAAAGCACTTCATAGGGCTCTTAAAAAATCTGAACCTATCAAATTGTATACAAATGGCACAAAGACTCCTACAAGTCCTGAAAGAAAAAGAAGACACACGCATACCCCCATGGAGAACAGCAATCCTCATCTCCCTGCTAGGATACAGACATTGGCCAGAAAGGTAAGTTGCTTTCTCAAAATGCTAAAGCTACAGAGAGAGAAATCAAAACAATCCTACCCTGCTGGATCAAGAGCGTCTTTCCAGAAATGTTCCATGGGCTTGTAGAAGTTGAGGGCCGAGGTAGTGAGAAGGAAGGAAGGAATGTACTCGCATGTGCGAATGCCTTGTGTGTGAGAGAGGCAGAGAGCGTGTGTGGATGTGTTTGTGTGTGGAATGGCAGGGATTCGGGAAGCAGCCAGTAGGCAGGGCACTTGGCAGCCCCTCCCGGCAGACACGGCAGCTGGGCTGCTGCACAGCGCTGGATGAATGGCAGTAGGGAGTGGGGGATACTCTGCTGTCTGCTCGTGGAGAGCAGTGTGGCACAGCCAGAGAGAGCACTACTGGGGAAAGCAAACTCCAGCCCCTGTGCTCCTTGCTTTGGAGCCTACAGAGTGCCCCATGCTTTCTGCTGCCATCCTAAGCAAGAGGAAAAACAGGCTTGCTGTAAATCATAGTCTTAACGGCTAAATAGAATGCCAGTCAAAAGTGTATGGATATCAAGTTTACAAAATGTGACATGAGTGGTTTTTCCTGAAGAATATAATTTAACAATAAAAGCCTTCTGGGATACATGTGGATCAAATGCCTTGCTGGCCCCAGCCCCTAGTCTCTGAACAGACACACTATTGCCATGCCTCCGATTGCACCAGGAAACCAGACTTTGGAATAAATGTTTTGGCATTCTAGGGATGTGTTTCCAGCTGAAATGTAATACTCCTCCACCTCGTTAACCAAACCCACAAACCTTTCCACGAATAGCTCAGTTGACTGCTTTCTGTAAACATGTGAAAAAAAATATTATTAAAAGCCTAGAGTATGAAGATAAGACAAAGGTGAGTACCTTTGTTTTAAACTGATTTTAGGCTAACAGGTTGTACTGGCATTGGTCACGGGGACAGGGCTCTCATTTCCCAATGGTGCCCACATGGATCCACCTGGTCCTTAACTTTTTCTCATGGTACTGATACACAATGATAAGGCACCTCTAGTGTGCCTGTGCCCAGGGTCCCAGGACACAGGACAGCTAGTAGAGCCTTCGTTGCCAGACATTAGTCACTATCCTGGGTGTTAAATGATTCTAATCACAATGCCAGGAGTGGCCAGTCTCCAGCCCTGGACACGATGCAGTTGCTGAGAGATTTATGAGTGGCTCTAGAAACCAGCACAAAGAAAGAAAGAAGTAGAAAGTTATAAAAATGTTAATGATGTCATAATGCAAATATATATTTTCAGACACTGAAAGACCCAAAATATTGCAGCATTAGAACACAGAAGAGATCCCTCCATAATCAGCAATGACAATAAATATTGGATATAAATAAATATTGAAAAGAAAGACTGTCATCCTTTGTTGTTGACTGTGGTGAGTGGCTCCTCCTGTAGGTCAGCAATGACCACCCACATAGTAGGCCCCTCTAAAATAAAGCAAGAATATGCAAGGAAGGAAGAAAGGAAAGGAGAATAGAAGAGAGAAAGAAGGAGGAAGAGAGAGGAGGAAGGGAGAAAGCAAAGGGGAATCTGCAAATGTTCACCTTTAACATAAGAAGGATAAGAAGCTTAGCTATCTCCTCGTAGACTTTGATTATTCAGAGACTTACAAAGTTAGTCCAAGATATCCAGTAAAGGCAGTTTTCTGTAAGCATGTGAAAAAAATATTATTAAAAGCCTAGAGTATGAAGATAAGACAAAGGTGGCTACCTTTGTTTTCAACTGATTTTACGCTAACAGGTTAAACTTTCTCTCCAGCATTCTCTTTCAAACTCTTCTTGATGAGATTCCTAACCCCAGGCCTGGCGATCCTGGGTGGGACAGCATACCGCACTATGGTGATTTTCCTCTGCTGCCTCTGACAACAGCCTCACACTGGGGACCCCAGCTCTCCCTTCTTCTCTCGCTACACTCTCATGCTGGATGCACACCTTCAGCCATGACCTGCTGACTCTCCCAGGTGAAGAAGGGTAAAGATTTCTCTAGCTCCACCGCCCTGCCAAGTTTATCTCCAGACCCACTTTTCCAGCAGTCTCCTGGGCATCACTGGCCTGTGCAAACATGAGCCATCATTCTCTCTCCCCCAAATGTGGTGTTCCTCCCAACTTCCCTCTGTGTGTGGCCACCATCACTTCCCTCCAAGCACCCAGGTTAAAATCTCACTGTCTTTTTTGAGGGCTGACTTTCCCTTGCCTTGCGCACCTGATCAAGAAGCAGTTCCTGGGCCTCCTGGCTTTCCAATCTCTCTCTTTCCCATGCATTTCTGTTGCCCCCTTTCAGCCTCTCATCATCTCACCTGCCCTAAGAGCCCCTAAGGACCTCTCTGCCTATTCCCTCCTCCACATCATCCTAAACCCTGCTGCCTGTTTATTTTTTCTTGGTTTTTTACTTCTCAGGATCCATCTTGTCACGAACCAGCTCTGCCTTTAACCCAGATCATTGCTTCCCCAGGAGTTCACGGCATCCTCTCTGCCCATAACTGTTCTTCCTGGTCCATTTCCTCCAACTGTAGCCTCTGCTTCAACCAAACAAAAACCTGATACTCCAAGAACTCAAAGCTTTTACGATGACTCAAAGCTTTTCTTTTTTTCTGCCCAGAACACCCATTTTCCTGGCTTGTCAGGGGTAGGCATAACTTTTTTTATAGGTCCAGCCCAAATGCCACCACATCCATAAGGCCTTCTTTTATTCCTTTTTCAAAGAAAATCTCCTCTCCTCTGAATTCTCATGGTAGGTCTCATCATTTATCACATTCTTCCTGAATGAGAATTATTTATATATTTTTTATCTCCTCATCCTCCTCAGAAGCTCTGTGAGGGCAAGGTCTGGCTAGAGTTATTTGGGAATTCTGAGTGCCTTGCACTGTGCCTGGACATGTTAGGTCACCAAATATTGGCTAATTTATTGATCCACATATTTAAAAGGACAAAATAGTATTACATCTGCCTGGATAACCATCTATCTCTAAAAGTTAAATTTCCATGTGACATTCTACCACTTTCAAAAATGTTTTTGCCAGAAGATTATCTTTGTATCTTCATGTCGACTGAGGCCATAAAGTTAAAATTCTAATTCGTACAATCTTGAGGCTTAAGCCTGCAATTCTTGGCAGAATGATTCACAAGAGAGCTCTGAATTTTTAGTTCATAAGCAGATAATACTATGACCAAACATAGCTTCATCTCTAGCTCCCTTAAAAGCTTTTTACATTACAAAAACATTATTCCTCCAACAGAAACATGAAAGAAAATAAATGTGGAAATATCTGCATAATAGCTTATACTACTAAGAAATGGTTCCTTTTCTCTGAGACATGAAAGTTTAGCTATGTCCAAACTGATCATTATACTGATAATAAATGCTGTCTATGGGAGCTTGTTTTTGAGCACTTATTTGATACCATCAATTTTCCTCAAAAGTGTAAGTTTCTGCTCATTTTAGAAATAATTTGGTCATTTGTTTTAAGGTTTTTTGATTATCTCCTAGACTTTTTTCACTTGGCCCTGAGTTTTTGATTTTCAAGGCAAAATTTAAATATAGGGAAGTACACATATCTTAAGTTTATAGTTTGTTGAGTTTGGATAGATGGATATGCCCATGTAACAACCATCCCAGTGAAAGTATAGGGTATTTCCATCACCCTAGAAAGTTCTGTTCATTCCCCATTCTACTCAACACCAATCCCTATAGGCAACCATTGTACTGATTTCTGTCACCAAAGATTTATTTTGCCATGGACCATGATCTGGGCCAGGTAGTAAGATAAAACTATGGTCTCTCTATCTGGACCATGATCTCTTACAAATTGGATCACATATACCACACTCCTTACCAATGGCACAACCAGTTACGTGTTGGGCATGCAGCTTTATGGGGCATCAGGGTATATAGAGCTGTCCTCTTCTCAGTCAGACCCCTCTCCTTGGGATGTGGACCCTCAAGCCCACAGAATTGTACTAACACTCCAGTCATGGATCTTTTTAAGTATAACAGGCTTTTGACATTATCAAATGCTGCCTAATTCTGCAAGGATACAAACTAGCAAGACGCCAACGAGAATCAATATTCTTTAACATGTTTCTAAACAGCTTTTTCTTTCTCATTCCACTCCAAAGGAAAAAAGACAAGATTTGTAAACCAAGAATCAAGTCAAAGACCATGACTCTCATAAACCCTGTGAACTCAGATGCCATTTTCTGGCTTCCTACCCAGGACTTGATGCAGATAGTTTGAATTTTGGGTTGCCAAGCAGAATGGCTACTCTTTATTAGGAATCATTGAATGATTTGGACTTAATTTTCCAGGTTAATAGAATGTCATCACTTTCATCTCACATTATCTTAGAAAATTTATTTTTAATAACATTTTAGGATCTTTTTATATATTTTACCTGTATTGCATGTAATAGAAGACAATTTAGAAAGTACTTTCACTGTAAGTGCCGTGAGTGGTATAAGAATTCCAATTATTCCAGTTATTATTACACTGTGTCCCTCTTCCTTCCTTTATCTGTTGTTTACTTGAGGAATCTCATTGCCAGCTTAGGGCATGATTTCTCCGTGAAGAGCAATGTCCAGATTGTGCCTAAATTCACTTAGATTGAGATAATCTTATCTAATGTTAAGGAGGACCTTTACATACACACACACACACGCACACACACACACAGACACACACACACACACTCTCACATACCCCACATAATCAAATAAGAACCATCCCCAGTTTAGAGCCAGGCTTAGCCAATTTTTTTTAAAGGAGATTTGTGCATTTTGAGCCTTTTCAGGTCTCCCTATTTTGTTACCATGGCTCCCTCCCACTCTCCCTAAGCTCCTAGGACTCCCATGTGGTCCTCCCCCTCTAACCCCCTCAAGTGCAATCACATTGTGTTGAGGGAGTGATGCCTTCAGAAGTATGTCATTAAATGACTCATTCATTCACTTCACTCAAAAAATATTGATTAGCTATATTTGCCAGGACCATTTCTAAGTGTTGGGACCTGTCTTAGTCAGCTCAGGCTGCCATAACAAAACATCCTAGATTGGGTGGCTTAAATGACAGTGATTTATTTTTCTACAGTGTGGGAGGTTGGGAGTGTGAGATCAGGTTGGAAGTGCCAATGTGATCAGGTGTAGTGAGGACCCTCTTCCTGACCTGCAGACAGCCACCTTCTCGATGTGTCCTCACACGGCAGTGGGGATGGGGTGGGGGTGGGGGGAGGCGAGAAAGAGAGGACAATCTCTTCCTCTAGTTGTAAGGCCACAGTCCTATCAGAGCAGGGCCCTACCATTCTGACCTCAGTTAACCTTGATTACCTCAGATACAGTCACACTGAGGGTTGGGGCTTTAGCATGTGAACTGAGGAAAGAGGACACAATTCAGTCAATGTTAGGCGCCCCAAAATAAACAAAACAAAAATCTCTGCCCTCACAGAGCTTACTTCTAGGGGGTTAACATTTAATCCTATTAATATTTTAATGGCCTCTCCTATTCAAAAGAGCTCCTCTTCCTTTACCTGCCCTCAGGTGTTTGTGCTCCTCTCAATGAGCCCCTAGACCCTTTTCTCCCCTCTACACACCTTGCCCTGGATGATCACAGCCACTCCCTGGGGTTTAAGCTTCATCTGTACAATGAAGACTTCAAAATAGAAATCTCCAACCAACATCTCTTTCCTGACTAGGAGAGCCACATTTCCAGATACCTATTAGACGTTTTTACTTGCATGTTTATTTGTTCAAGAAATATTTGTTGAACACCTACTATGTATTAGCCACTTGAAGCTCAATTTGTCCAAAACTAACTTCTTATCTTTTGCCCAGAACTGCCCCTCCCTTCTGGTTCCTAGCTTAGCAAATGGCACTGCTGTTTGTGGGTGTACATGCCAAAAATATCCAGCCCAAAGCCTTGAGCGTTTTTCTCAATCTCTATATTTGATCTATAGTAGATTTTTATTTCTGTCTGCTTGATCTCTTTTGAGTCCCCTCTCTTTTCTCATCCTCATTATTATTTTCAGGACGCCAACTTTTCCCTGAAGATCTCTGCCTCCATCCTTTTGCTTTCACTATCCATTTGCTGCACTGCAAGAAGAGTCATCTATCTCAAAAGCAAAGGAAATTGAATTATTATCCTCATTTCTCAAGATTCCCTACCCTTCTCCGCAGGTACTGTGCTCCTCCCACACTGCATTTCTTTCAAATTCCTCAAACCCTCTGGACTCTCTCTGGGTCTAAATATTCACATATGCAATTACTCTACCTGAAATCTTCGTCCTGTCCCTATTCATCTGACTGACTCCGACTCATCCTTCAAGTCTCCCTTGAGACATCACAACCCTCAGGAAGTCTTCCTTGATTACCTGTTGGGTATCTCTGCTATGAATGCTCATATCTCCCTAAACATTCCCATTATAGCCC